GCCGCTCTGCGGGTCCTGGCACCTTAACGCCTGAGCACCTCGCGGCGGGGCAGGGAGGTCACCCGGTGCCCGGCGGATGGCAGCTGGGGCCTGGAGAGCCAGGGCTCCTGGGTGGCATCTGGCTGCCCATTCCCAGCCAGATCTGCAGCCAGGCTGAGCAGGTTCAGGGCTGCTCCCAGGACCATGTTCTTGGGGAGCTTCTCCTTGATCCCTGGTTCTCTCTGTGCACACTGGAATACATAAATGTGCACCCTGCAATTCCTTAATGAGTTTAAAAAGATTTTGACGGCTATGAGATGGCCACAAGCCACCTGGACTGTGGTATTTGCGACTGGTTGCCCTGGCTGTCTGTCTGGGTGCACTGTGGGGGCTGCAGTGGCCAGCGACTCGGAGGGCTTTGCCTGTAGTGAGCTGCTGGCCATGGGGAGGAAAAGAAGACAAGCCAACGGCGGTGCAGGCCCAGCATTTTTGAACACAAGTATGACACAGGGAGGAGATCCCTAGGGAACGGCAGTGTGTGATGTGAGGGTGCTCACACTCCTAGCGTCATCGAGTCTTCCAGCATCGACGTTTTGTGGTCCAACCTGCACTCATTCGTACTGCGAGATGTGCCCGGCGGGCTCTCATGGTCTGCCCTGGACCAGCTCCCGCTGCACTGTTACTTGAATAAAGGAAGGAGTTTCCCCTTCTCTCCATAAAATGTTCCAGTAGCAAAATGTATTAAAATGTGAAAACTAAATTAAATGTATTAATTAAAAGCATTATGCAAAGAATTAAAAGAGCATGTAAATTAATTTTCTATCTATGCATGGGATGCATACTGTATATTTTATTAAAGATCTCAGTGACCCACTTTGGAAGCTTTTTCTGTTTCACAGCAGCTTGGAGTGTCTGTGTTCATACAGCAAGTCGGCTGATTTGGGGCAGGGTCAATAGGTTAGTAAAAACAGTCCCCAAACCAGTTAGAGCCAGGAGCAGGCTGGCTCTTTGCAGAGTGATTCCTGCAACAGGTCACCGTATGGGGGCTGAGCCCCTCCAGCCGGGAGGCGGCAGGGAAGGAGGCGCTGGGGCGGCTGCTCGGAAAGCAGGCGCGTGGGTGCACCGCGCGGGGGAGCGATCGGGCTCTGGAGACTGCAGTCGCTCACTTCGTCCCCCTTGGAGGCAACGCGGCAACGTGGAAGCCCAGAAATGGCAGTTTCGCCCCGCTCCACCGTGCTCGCAGAGGACAGCCTGGGCAGGAGGTTGTGCCCGTTGGGGTGACTACCACCCGCCCTGCTGGGCTCCCACAAGCGGACTGAAAAGAAACCACTCTTGTTTTAAGAAATTAATGTTAAATCCGGTCTCATGGGCCATATTCAGGTCTAAAAGTAGAAAGGGATCCATTTTAAAAGAAAATCTAGTTCAAACAGCATCAGTGGTTTTGCTCAACTTGGTTAAGCAACCTCCTTAGGCACCAGCGGACGCCTGGAGGACGCACGCACGTTCCCATCTGTGTTCCCAGCCGCTCTGCTCACCACTGTGACTACTAGCAAGGGTAACAGAGTAGTAGTTAATGGCCTGCTATAAATTAGCAGCACGGAAGAGGGAGCAAGCCCATGGACCCACTGTGTATTAAAGACTAACCCTCAAAGAGAGAAGCAGTGTGAGAAAAGCCGCTAGCAGATGCTGGTCTCATGCACCTGGGGCTGAAGGTTGCCCGCTGCCTGCTCCATGAAAGACCTGGCTCCTTCAGCTCTTACTAGCAGGCAGAGGCAGGACAGGCCTTTGCCTGGTCCCTACCAGAGCAGATATTGCACATTGCAGCTCTGGAGACCTGGGAGGAGCTGGCCCCTGGCATCACATTGACAAGGTGAATGGAAGGAGGGATTTTGCAGCGTGGGAACCTTGGATCCTCTCCCTGCCTTGCTGTCTTCAGTGCTCACTCTGCCCTTGAGAAAGGCATTTAGCCTCACTGAACTCAGCTCCCCGTCTGCTAAACAGGAATCTCCCTGCGCCCTGTCTTGGGGCAGAACGGGTACGTTACGGGTTGCAAGGGAGTTGGGGAGGCAGACGGATGGACGGAGAAAATATCTGCAATAGCTCAACAGCAGCTGCTAGCCTGAGCGGACACGCGTGCCCACCACCAAGGAGCAGCAGCAGTGGCAAGCGAGCGTGGTAGTGAGAAGGAGCAGGCTCGCAGGGAGCACGGGGGCCGCCGACCTGCCTGCCGACAGCTTTCCCAGGCACGGCCACGGCCTGGGTCTCCTTGCGCCGTGTAGACAGCTCAATCAGCAGAAGCAGGAGACTTCCTAGCCTCCACTGTGAAGGGCTCTGCAGCAAATGAACCAGATACCTGCTGGCAGAGGCTTTGCAAGGGGACGTGGGGTTGGCCTGGAGCAAGCTTGTGGGGCTGGGAGGTGCAGACGCCACAGGGACAGGAGACCCAGGCACCGCTCTCCTTCCCCAGAGGGGCCCTGCTAGCTAAGACCAAAAAGCACCTGGACCCTCAGCCCCCTCCTCCATTTATCCCTGCTGGCAGAGCTTCCCAGCCACATTCACTAGTTTTACACATTAAAGCTAGCAGGGCTGAAGCCCACCTGGCTGAATTCAGACTAGCTCGTGCAGGTCAGCAGCTGCCTAAACACCACAGCTCTGTCCAACCCCCCTGTCCTGGCATGGAGAATGTCCCCTTGCCTTCATGGCCCTAATCACATGCAGCCATAGCTGCTGTCCTTGCTATGAAGGCAAGCGCAGACTGGCTCCCAGCGAGCAACCAGCCATGACAGGAGCTATCACCAGCTCAAACATGTTATCACAGCCTGCCTCTGGCTAACACAGCTTTTAAACTTAGTCAGAAATTTCAGTAGCCCTTTTTCTAAGAAAATTTAGAAGAGCCCTGAGGAAAGCCTCGTGCAGCACCACGCTGCCTAAAGAAATAACCCTGCAGCTACAAGGTGCTTTCAGCCCTCCAGGAGCTGCAGTTAATCAGCTGATGATGACACAGAGCAGCACCACAGCTAGTATGTCTGTCTGTCCATCTGTCGGTCTGTCCATCTCCCCCAGTTTTCCCTCTAGAGAAAAGGGGCTCCCTCTTTTATAGGAGGTGTCTCCCCAGTACACCTTCCTCCCGCCAGCTACTTTAAGGGGGCAGTTGCTCTTCAGCTACCAGGTCTCTTCCTGTGTTTCAAGGGATCTAATTTGTGCTCTGATGCTGTTCGGGGTTGATCCTCTTTCCTGAAGGAAGTATGAAAGGCTGAGCTAATTCCTGGTGGTATAAGTGCTCTCTGGGAGGCTCTGAGATGAGGGGTTTTAGTCTTGAGGCTGCTTGTCTGCAGGAGACCCAGGTAGCGGGGGAAAGACCGGCTGCTGCTTTCACTGTGTCAGGCATTCCTTAACTAAATGCAATAGGAGGGGAAGATTAAAAATAGAGATTAATCCTTATTCCTTTGAGAGTTTGTTCATTAACAAAAATTCACTCTGTGCTAGTCGTCCTAAGCAAAAATCTGCCCTAACTTCAGGGTTAAAAGAAAACTAGTACCTCTTGAGAGAGCTTCTGTGGCTGCTCCAAACCACTGCTGTCTTTGAGAGGAGCTCGGTTTGTGAAGAACTGCAGGCTGAGGTTTGGGAAAACTGTGAAGGGTGTTTTCTTTTTTTAGCCTCCTGCTCTTTGTCAAGACATTAGGATTTGTATTGCTATGAGTAACCGTGCTAGGAAATCCTCCCACTACTATGCAGATATATCTAGCAGCACTGGAGCTCTGCAGAGGAGAAATCAGTGCAGGAAGGTCTGGGTGCCCAACACCAAAGGAGCGGGTGATCACAGCCCACGCTTGCGTTCCCAAGACACTTCTATGCCTGCATGGGTTGCCAGGACTGGTCTGACTTACTGTTTGTAAGGCAAGTAAGACATTCAGGTTCCTTCGCTAATCCCTAATCAGTTTTCCTGAGAGTGATTGTGTTTTCATTTGGTATAGTGGGTAAATCAAATTAACACTTTATCAGGTTATTTCTACAAAAGCTGCTCTCCACACTCAAAAAATGATTGATGAAAGAGTGACTATTTTGCCTCCAGGGGATGATGATTAAGGAGTGACCTTATTAAGCTACTTCATGCAGCTGAGAATTAGACAACTCTGCTTAAAGGGACAAAGTAAACTTCATTACTTTTGTTTAAAACTTTTTTCCTTTGCTGGCTTTTGGATATTTGACTACCCTGAATAGTCAAGTCAGGTCTCTACACTCAGCTGGCTATTGGAAAACTGGGACATCTTAAAGGACTTGACTTGTAGGAATGCAAGAGTCCCCACTGGCATTGTTTTTAGTGTCTGTGCTATCTGCAGACTTTTACAGGCCTGCTGATTTCAACGCAATTTAGGGAGAAAAAAGTCAGAGCTGGCTGCTTGATTATGTAAATATTAAAATGGTGATGCTTGTAATTCTTGTATTTGAACTATGTATGGAGACCAATAACGATGAAGTGCCATA